GTCATACAGTACTAGTTACAATTCAGAACAAGTGATAGAATAAATAAATAAAAAGACAACAAAATTACCATTAAACACACATATTCTTATGGCCAAATCCTCACATGTAAGAGACAATTTGATTCAGAACAGCTGCTGAGCACTGACAAAACAATAATCAGAAGCAATGATGCTTTGTTCACATGTGAACGCTATTGTTCATATATGATTGTTTTTTAAAATAGCTACTCCCCATAGAATTCGTCAAATTCATCTGCAGAAGATCTTTAATGTCAACAAGTCCAATCACTAACATAGCACTCCTAGGTCTCCCAACAACCCATGTCCTCAAGCGCTGTGTGTCTACTTGTCTTTTAAATACCCTCAGGAAGGTGACTCAACCACTTCCCTGAGCAGCCTCTTCTAACCCCTGTCTTTGGTGACAATATTTTTGCTGATATCCAATCCATACCCACCCTTGTGCAACATGAAGCCATTTTCTCTTTTCCTATCACTTGCTGCCTGGAAGTGATATCATATCATCCTAACTTCTAGATAACTCAAATTGTCATCAGTAACCCAAAATGTTGCTGTATTCCAGATCTATTCGTGCCCACAATTGTTCCTGTCTCTTTCTGACCCTGCAGCCCGGCAGCTACTGTGTGGAGTGCTTTCGGGTGCTTTTAAAGTCGGCTCTCACAAACAGCTCATCCCCTCTTGCCATGTGGGTTTTGGCTCGCTGCCTTCCTGGTCTTTGCCCAGGCAGAGCCGTTTCCTTTTGGGATTCTCGTTCGGCTTTTTTCTCTCTTCTTGAAGAGTCTACGGTTGGCAGTTTTGAGCTCCATGTAAGAGAACTGCACATGTGTTGCCTGTACTGCTGCATCGAGTGGGGTGGCCCCACTCCAGCAGTCTGGTCCAGATCCATTGGTCCTTGCTCCCAGAGAGAAGACTACAGAGTAACTCCAGCCCAGACACCTTGCCTTTACTGCTCCTATCGAGAGAAATGGGGAGTCCTTCCACAAGTTGCCAGCCCTTGATCCGCGGATCACCAGCCAGAGCTCCAGCTGGAGATAAGCAGAGCATAGGGGGATGGTGGGGGAAGACTGGCTCCACCTTTCCCTTTGTCCCTCAAACCACGCACTCAGCTGAGGAGCGTCAGGATGGGGGCTGTCCCTAGGATTTTGGGGGAGACTGTTCTGTGGAGTCTGTGAGGTTTAGCACTTTTATACCTGACGGCATTGGCTGATATTTCTTGACTGTTGCTGTCTCCGTTGTTGGTAAACTTACCTTTCCACTTATTTCTACTTTGTATTCATCACTTGTTGGTAGAAAGGGATTGGTTAAACCTATAAATGGAGGCAGCTCATTCCAGAGTGTGCTCCTTCAAGTTGTCTTAAACCAAGACACAAATTCTTTTTGGTTTGGAACCCTAAGTAACATTAGATACTCTGTTGAGTATCTATTATGCACCTGCTATGATGGGCAAACTGAGCTGGGCTCTTAAATACAGCAGTACAGGAACTCATACATCTTTTCAAGTCTGCATTTTTTGTCTACCCTCCTGTTTTGGCTCCAAGCATGTGGTTTGTGTTCCACCACTTCACAGGCCACAAAATCTCTGCCAGGAAGAAATTTACATTAAATCTTGGTGCCAAGTAGAAATGATACTACAACACAAAAATAATTCCAATACAATACAAACAGAATTATGATAAGTAACGTATACATTACTTTTTTCTGTGTAGCGCACCTATGATACACATGGCCAAATACAAAATAAAGAAGTAAACTATATATTTAACTAGTACCATCTTGAGAAGCAAAGAGGTCTGAAAACTGAAATGCCTCATCAGCACTTTGAATTAACCATCTAAATCTTTTGTTAACATTATTCTAATGAATTAAAGCGTTGCCATGAATGTAACAAAACAGCACCATCCTGGGAGGCTGTTTTAAACCAGAGACCAGATATTCCTGTTTCTGTTTTGAAGAGTGTACAGCATCTACCATGGACCTAGAAAACTTTTTTTAGGAAATATTTGGAGCAAATTCAGAATGCATCATATGTCTCCAAATCATCAATGCTCTCGCAAAGCTGCTGGGGATTTTTATACCCACACCCCTTGCTCTCCTTAAAATGACTTACATAAATGTACAACATTTACATTTAAAGTGTACTTAGACCTTTAAAAGCAGATGACTCGGCCAATCAAGCACCTTTACAATACTTCAGGTATGTATGCTGGATAAAGAGTTGCAGTGCCATTATGTGCCCTTGAGCTACTAGATGAGTTACTGATTAAATTACATGAAATGCTGTTCCAGTTTACAACTTATTTGGATCTTTGGCACAGTTCAGTTTTAGAATTTTAGTCAATCCAGCATTTACTTTACTCCAGAAAAAAAACTTCTGGCAAAAACTTCTGTGGCTTTGGAAAATTAAAAATGTCCCAGTATGACAGCCTGATCACATTCACATTACATTCACTCAAAGCTCTAGGAGACAAGGCACAATTACCTACTTAAGGTGCACACAGCTTCTAGTCTAATACGAACCTATACTGACTGTCTCATCAACATCTCTCTCATGTCTTCTCTGAAGTGCTCATTGAAATTTAAAAAGCTATTTGCCCAATTTAAGTAAAAAAATTTGAAAATTAAACATTAAAATTACAAGCATTTGTATGATGCCTTCTTTACCAACCACAAAACCTCTTCTAAGTGACAATACCATTTCATGGTTGCCTCATTATTTTGAAAAACATTATTAAACTAAGACCCCATACTAATGCCCCTGGGAAAAAGTTAATGCTGAGATAATTTTTTATGGTTGTCCCTTCCTCACTGCAAGAGTAATCTGTTGTTAAGATCGTATCTTTTACATTGTCGTCTTTCTTGAACATTTTCTTTGGCATTTTACCAGAAGTTTGAAAAGATTTTATTCCCTTTCACAGAAAGAAGACATCTTAAATGAGAAATAAATAAAAAAGAGAAGCAGATACAGTATAGAAATTATTAACATACAATGTCATTCTATTGTATAATAAATTTATTAGGGAATAATTGTTTCTTTTTCTGACTATTTTACAATTAATAATCTCACAACTCAAATTGGTTATAAAGTTCAATATGTCAAGAGCTGAGAGCATATATGTTATCATGTCATGATGACATTTCAGTCTGGTGGTACTCAAGCTGAATGTGTTTTCACACTAACTTTTAACAGTTATCTGAACTGTTTAAGTGATGGTAAGTCTGACACAGCTACTAACTCAAGGCAAAACTTCCCCACAAACATTTTTTAATTTCTGTTTTACAAACACTAATCAGAGGAAGTAAAACAAACTTTATTACCAGATTTTGTTGAAACAACCCAAAACTGTATCTCGTAACTTAACAGTAGCTGTGAATGCAACATTTCCATCTTTGACAATGTTTAAGATATCTTTCAAACATTTTTTTTCTTTTCAGTATAGCATGCTTATACTCTGCTTCTAGCTTTTCAAGTAGTAGTACACTGTAGCAACCTGTGATCTTTGATGACAATGTCTGAGGTATGAAAGTTGGCATTAGTCTGACTCAGCAGCACTGCCTCAAACGATGATCACAGGACTAAGAGAAAATGGGCTCTTTTGGGCTCTTTTGTTGCTTTCTGTTGCTTTAAAATAAAGTATCAAAAGTAGGGAACACCAAATGAAGATAGTTCTTTTAAATAAACAGTCCTGACTTCTGAGCTGGTGTACATATAATGACAGATGCTGAAAGAAACCCCTTGAGATCATTTACTTGTGTGCTCAGAGCACGGTCAGCTACAGCATGTTGCCCAAAGCTGTGTTCAGCTGAATTCTGAGTATGTGTAAAGATGAGAACTACACACTCAGTCCCAGTGTTCAATCTGACTCACAAAAAAAAAAAAAAAAAAAAAAAAAAAAAAAAAAAAAAAAAAAAAAAAAAAAAAAAAAAAAAAAAAAAAAAAAAAAAAAAAAAAAAAAGTTGCTTTCTAATTTCAGATTACATTTTTACATTTTCTGGTCTTTAGTGTGTCATCATAAGACTCTTGCCCCCTCAGAGGGCAGTACAGGGAAATGTCCAGCTCTCTCCACTCCTTCCCTCAGATATTCACACATAATAGTTAATATCCTGTCAAAACTTTTTCTTCCCCAGGATGAACAGCCCCAGCTCTCTCAGCATCTCTTCCCATGCTGGATGCTCCAGTCCTTCAGTCATAGCTGTGGCTCTGGACTGGACTTTCTCCAGTACGTCCATATCTTCACCACGCAAAAGCCTGGAGCTAGACCCAGCATTTCACACACATCTGCACTACAGTGCAGAGAAGACGGGTAGCATCACTACCCATTATCTGCTGGCAAATCTCTGCCTATCGGGCCTGGAATGGTTTTGCTTGCCTTTGTGCATTGCTGATTCACGTGCAGCCTGTAGCAGCAGGGTCCCTAACTCATTTTCTGCAAAGTTTTCAACCAATCAGCCCTTACTTACATATAATTTTCCTTATTTTTGACTTTAAGATATTAACAATGCCTACAGAATAGTGAGAAAAATTAGTACCTGTAGGACCTGGCATATTCCATATCAGCAGTACCTTTTTGTCCAATGTCATGTAATTAAAGGAGCCCAAAAATAAACATGCAATATTTTTTCCCAACAAAAAAAAAAATCTTGAAAAGTAAGTTTGAAATCAATCAATAAGAGTAGTTAACTGAACATACACTAGAATTCTTTGCTGCCAGAAGCGAACAGTAAAGAGAGGGGAGTTTTATGGAGTTGTGAATGTAAACGTGAATGTAAAAGCAAAACATGTCCCAAATAGACCCCACCTTTAAGAAGGTAATCACATATTTTACATACAAGAAGTTGTTCTGAAAGCTGATTTGCCACATAACTGAAAAAGACAGTTTACTGTCAAATACATCTTTTGAAAAAAAACACAAACCAGAAATGACACCATGAGGCTTACAAACCGTTCTTTTCTTTTTCCCTAAAATACAAGCATTGTGTTTTCATTGAATACTGAATCAACTTTATTTATCAGAAGACAATTGCATCTGTAACATTAAACAACAGCCCATTGTCTATTTTACCAAAAGGATGGTATAAGACAGTCAAGATGTCAAATGTTTTCCTCATCCTTGCAACAGCTCAGAGTTGCTGTTCTGTCACTAACAAGTTTGCTACCATAATACCACCAGCACTACAGGCTAAGCTGTGCCTAAAACCCATTTAAATTCCATAATGCATACAACACATCTGAAAAAATACACAAATATAAAACATAAATCAGCAAAAAATGGCAATAATTAACCATACATAAATGGTGCAAAAGAGACCAGAATGTCTACTCACAAGTGCAATCCAGCACAGCTGCACATACTGAAGACAAAACACTGCTAGTCAGATCTTTTGTTCTGTTTCAACAAAACACAGAAACAAAAGCAGCAAAACTACTATGACACCTTTTCTGTCTTTTTCAATTAAAGGGTGCCAAAATATCCCCTGGCACAATCAGATAGTTCTTGTAATGACAGTTGTAATTTGCCTGCAGCCAATGTATATCACTTAACATTGCACTTCTACACTCTTTATTTCTGAATTCCTGAAGGTGAATCTCAAAACAGGCTTCATTCATCACATTTAAGAAAGCACTTAAGAAAGCACTTAAACATTTAATGGTAATGATTTCCATTGGAGATAGTGGCTAGAAGGTAGTATGAAAAGGAAATCAAACTATGTATTAAATACGATGTAATAAAGCTGAGTTACACACCCGTATCCAAAAGCCTTGAACTAGGATGAAAATTCTTAAGTCTAATGTTGTTGCTTTTGAATATAGTCTGAATTTCAGAACTCACTGAAACATCCTTGATCAAAAAATCAGGCAGGAACCTAGCTGCTTAAGAATAAACTTCTTTCTACTCAATTAACTTAAAGTGCAGAAGTTAATAATTCATTTTAATTTCAAAGAAGGAAATAGTAGAATTCATTACAGAAAAAAAGTTTACAAGCAACTTTGCAGCAGAAAGCCTGTGTCCTGAATGGCAAATTGTAGTAAGGTGAGGCATGGGGGAAAGGAGGGTGATCAAAACAGCTGCTGATAAAAAAAATGTGCTGGCAATTCAGAACAATGAATTATTGCTTTTGATGTCAGATTTCCTTGAATAAATGAAGAGTTGCTATTTTAATACTGCAAGCAACTGCTGCTTTACTTTGAATAAAAAGAAAAAGGAAGAACTGCAAGTTTGTGGAATAATGTTTACTACTAATCAACACATCTTAACCAAAGTTTTCACAATACTCAAAGCTACACATTTAAGTATACAATAGTCTCAATTGCAAAAAACAAGTAGAACAATTAAACTACATAAGGCCTTAAAAGTACAGTGTGTATTGTTGGAATATTATTTTGTTCACAATTAGGCTACATATAATTAAGTATATTTTTCATAGTTTTATTCACGTAAAATGCAGGGAAAGGTAACTTAAGTTTATTTCATGATAAGTTAATAGAAAAATGTCGATATTATCGTCTTGCCAATCCTCCCACCTCTCCCAGGCCCGATTAGTAAAATTTCCATACAATACTCAAAAACCAGTAAGTTTTTACATGAAACATCCAAAATTAAACCTGATCAGACCAGTGCTAATTTGCAAACTCTTATTACAATGTTGGATAAACTTCAAGCTTCTTCTTAATGACACATTGTGGCTCTAGAAAATCAGTGTTTAAAACTACATGGTTCAAGAAGTCTTCAAGGCTTTAAGTCTGGTTTCAAAGAGGTATTTTATGGCCTCAGTAGCAATCATGTGAATGATACTTCCGTTATAACAGTGATAACTTGTGGAATTATTTAGGCAAGATTAGGACTCCTGAGAACATGAGTGGATATATTTTATTATCCTGAAAGCTAAGAGACAATATGAGTACAAAATAAGTAAAGGGAAACTAAGCAAAAAATAAATGAAAAATATGGGAAAAGATATCTATTTTGCCCCCTCTTCCTGTAAAAGGGCATAAGTAATTTCCAGTGACTGTTTATTCTCATTACATACATTAGTATTTGCTCAAATTTCATGGCTATTACATTTTTACAGAACAACAGCTTAGAAGTCAGTTTTTTAATTACACCTGTGCAACAGAGTAAGTCACAGTACACTTTGAGATGTTTAAAAAATATTTATAAGCTTGGTTTTGATATGCTAAAGCACTTGGCAACACTTTTACAGCATTTGGTTTTATATAATTCAATTTTCTTACAGTACTCCTTGTGATTTTTTTTCTTTACATCTAAGGAGAAAACCTCACACAAAGAAATATGAACTGCCAAGTCTGACTGCATGATCATGTAATTCCAGTTTATAACGCTGACATTAAAACCTTCATTAATTATGTTGACAAATCATTACCTGTAGATTTAATGAAGGCAACCAAGATGATTTGAAAATACAAGATTCAGGCTTTAAGTTACATATTTATCAAAGTGTGCAGTTCTGCAGTGAAATGAAAAAAAACCTGTAAATACACAATGAAAGTTACAAGTTCACCAGTTCCTGTGACACAAACTGTTTTAATCTTTCAAGGTACTGTCCATAGAGTTCCACATCATTATGGCCCGCTCCTTCTACCCACAGTGGTTCTACAGGTCTCTGGCAGCGCTCAAATAATGCTAGGCCATGTGAAAAGTCAATTACTTCATCTTCAGTTCCATGGATTATTAAGACAGGAGATGTTATTTTAGAAATTTTGTCAATGCTGTAAAGAAAAAGATTACATCTATGAAAACAATGGCATAGTTCTGAATACATGACAGGAATTTTCTTAAGTTCTACTTCGTTTTTCAGCCTTACAGAAACATATTGCAAAGGACTTTGTTCACAGTTATCCAGACTAACAATTCACTGGATAGAGCTACTTGCTAAAACTAGGAATTTATATGTTATGTATAGGAAAATTAATTACTTCTTTACAGATATCCACTAAAATGATTAGAGATGCGAAGTGCCTAGAAGGTTTACAAAGTTTAGTAAACTTCTTCAAATCAAATGTTCCTCTTTGATGTTATTCACTGATTTTTCTCCAATTCTTTTATTAAATCTTTGAAAAAACTTTCAGAGAACATGCCAGACTACTTGTTTCTCTAGTTGAAAACTTCTGTTATAAAGAAAATGCATGCTGAATAAAAAAAAAAATCCTACAACTTACTTTGGGAATGCATCAAAGCAGTACGTCTTCTTTGTATCAGGAAAAGCTACTCGCATTCCTGAGGTCAGTGGAGAATGAAGAATTACAGCAGCACTTTCATACCTAGCAGCAAGATCCACAGATGGTACTGTTCCTATACTCTGGCCATATATAATCACATTTTCAGGGCGAATTCCATACCTAGAAAATTAGACATTTTTAAAAGGTGGCATATAAAGTGAAACAGACAAGACCTACAGAGCAAGGCAAAAAAAGCATTTCTGAAGATGAAAATTTTCAGAAGGGTATCAACTATGAAACAGGACTGGTAGAAGAACAAGCAAGAATGTTCTATAACATTCCTGACTAAACTACACAATTATTTATATACTCTCTATTTCCAGTATTTTTTTTTCCTTATGCCTGTAGGATATTGAAATAATGATTTAATTTTTTAAAATATGGATTGTTAAAAGTCTTTACTATTAGCTTCAGTGGACCTACAACAGAAAACTGATTAGAGCCTTAATAGCTCTTTGGTTATCATCACATAAAGCATAATTCGAGCCTGCAAAAATTTGGTCAGCTTTACTCTTCTGATACTTGACAAAACCTGCAGGCTGGTAACATTGTTTTTAAATTTAGTGACACTTAAAGCATGCCCATACTGAGAGTGATGTAATAACCAAGAAGCTTGTTCTTATCAACTTAATCCACAAGCAATTGCTACCCAAGTTACATGGGAAAAGCCTCTGAAGAGAACAGTAATGTGGCCAAGAACAGTGCCTGAAAAAGAAGTGAACTGTTGATCCACTGCCCTGTACAAACCAGGTGCTCTTAGGACAGGTCAGACGGCAGCAGTGTATCTGAACTTGGGAAAGGAAGTACCTTGAATAGGAAAGGATACTATATTGCAATAATAACAAACCCAAGAAAACCCCATACACAACAAAAACCCAAAACCAACAACACCAAATCATGGTTCTCATGAATTATTAAAAACTTGTTCAACTTCTTAAGTAAGAACAGCCCAGTGTAATATCACTGTGGAACAGCATGAGGTAGGTTTCCACTTTAACTCTAAAAGTAATGAAAATCAAGTGTAGGAAAGTGCACCTGTTACCTTGTCTACAATAAAGGCATGCATATTTTCTGTCAACATTATATAACAACACCCATAGCCACAAAGAAGTCATCAAATTAGTATATTTTGCATATCTCCAGTAAAGTCAGGGAAGTAGAAGTACCAAAGAAATTCACAAACATTAGGAAAAAAGGTGTTTAATGTGTGTATTACATTCAACACATTCAAATTACTAACCAACAAAACAGCTCTCTCCAAATCTACAAGTACTTCTTAACAAGCCAGAAAAAATACCCTCTAAGTTGCATCCAATATAATATACAGTTAATAAAAAAATACGTATCTAGGAAGATTACATACTACGTACCAGTAGCAGAACTCATCAGGCATGCCAATAACTTGGTAAATTTGGTAAACTGTTCACATCTAACATTGTCTATTTAATATTCATCTGTTTATTTAGATTAGGTTCTGATAGAGCGAAATGTGAAAGTTTTTAAAGTATTAGCACAGAGGCAGACTTTGCCTGACACAGGAATCTTGCTGCATTATGACTTAATCACTATCAGTGTTTCTTAGAAAGAGTTTTTAGTCATAATGAGATCATTATCAAATTAAGACTTCTAAAACTCTTAAGTCTTCACCATCAGCCTAGAACTACTAGCAGGCCCTTCATATCACAACAATTCTCAAAGAAAAAGCAATTTCAAGCATTAACAAGATTTTCTGAAAATTCCAACACACATAAATAAAATAAATTAAAGCTTTGAAATAAAAGACAAATCTAAGCTCTCTACTATTTCTGAAACTCTTCTGAAACACCTGAGAACATAGCACTTATCCTTTCACAATTCATCTCCCAAGCCACATCACATTTATCCACTATGAAAGTACAGTACAACCTTCCCTCCTTCCAACATAATCTGAACAAAATTTGCATTAGTATGTTGCATCACTAGTATGGCATGAAGCAGCACATTATGATAAAACAGTTTTCAAATAATAAACCTTGCCAACTTCCATTTCCTTGGGTGTTGAGTTTTGCAAGATACAGGCCATTACACAGGAATTTAAAGCACAACTTAAAACCTGTATCTGAAAACATATATTCTCCTCTTTCTCATTATTCTTTCCCCTATTTTTTGATCAAATTCCTTCAGCCTGAAAATAGATAAATGACAGCTACAAAAAAATAAGAAAAGTATTTACAGTATCTGGACTAAAATAATCCTTACTCCATCACAGTCAAAAAGATTGCCTCACAGTGCCCACCAGAAAAGACATGTTTTGCAATCTATAAACTAAAGTAAAGAAGTCAATAACCCAAAGTGGTGGTCCAAAGTACACTTCTGAATATTCCGGCTTGAATAGGATGAACACCTAAATAATCAACCCCCACCTCCCAGATAACAATATCCAAGCAGCTTGGAAAACAGATTACATCTGCTCATTCCAGTCTTCCCTTTTCTCTTGAAAAAGTTTAGTGGGCTAAGCCTGGCTAGTGCCAGGCACCCACCAAAGCAGCTCTCACTCCGCTCCACAGCTGGACAGGGGAGAGAAAATTTAATGAAGGCCTCATGGGCTGAGATAAGGACTGGGAGAGATTGCTTATCAAATACCATCATGGGCAAGACCAGCTAGAAGTAATTGAATTTATTACTAACAAAATTATTATTAAATTGAATGATTGTAAATGAAATTATTGTTATTAATTATTTATTATAATTATTAATATTAATAATTGAATTTATTACTAACAAAATCAGAACAGGATAAACACCATCCCCTCATTCCAGCTCTACCGCTCTCCCCCAGAGGTGCAGGGAGACAGGGAATGGGGGTTATGGTCAGTTCATCACATGTTGTTTCTCTTGCTGCTCAGGCAAGGAGTCCTTCAGGGACACTTCTCCATGACCTTCTCTGATGTGAGTCTGTCCCACAGCAACAGTCCCCCTCAAACTGCTGCAGGGTCGGTCATTCTTCCATGAGGTGCAGCTCTTCAAGGACAGGCTGCTCCAGTGTGGGCTCCTCTCTCCACAGGTCTCCCATGGGGTCACAGCCTCCCTTCAGGCATCCCCCTGCCCTGGTGTGGGGCTCCTCTGATGCCTGGAGCACCTCCTGCCCCTCCTTCTCCACTGACCCTGGTGTCTGTAGTGCTGTTCCCATCACATGTTCTCCTTTCACGCTTTTCTGTCTGAAATTACAACTGCACAATTGTAATTTTTTTCCTCTTCTTCTTAAATATGTTATCCCAGAGGCACTACCATAATTTCTAATTGGCCTAGCCTTGGCCAGAGGAACATCCATCTTTGGAGCTGACAGAGATTAGAGAAAGCCTCTGGCAGCTTCACACAGAAGGCACCCTTGTAGCTCTGGCCACCAAAGCTTGGCCATGCAAGCCCAATATAATAGGCTCCTCAAATATTTTGAAAAAAGGAAGAGCCCAACTGCCCCTCTCAAAAGTACCACTAGTACTGCTATCTCTCGAAAGTACCACTTTACAATCTAAAACAGAAAAACTATTGAAATGGTAACTGGTTTTAAATTCCCTATTCATAAAAGTTGTTTACTTCTTTTGACAGACTGATAGCCTGTTAAACTCCAAGAAGTTTTGTGGCAAATTATCAGATGACCAATACCTGGTCTCCCTATGGAGGAATGTCAGATCAAGAGAAAAAGTCGCAGCAACATCATTCTCTTAATCAGTGCCTTTTAAGTACAGGCCATTCTGAGGAAGGGGAACATGACATTTACAGAGCCATATCCTTCAAGTAGCTCCTCTGGTTACAAGAGGTCAAAGACATACTGTAAAGACAGTTGCTATCTTTGAAAGCTCATTATGTTGATAATAGGACTAATGTAAACACTGTTCTCCACTCAAGTAATCTTAGGCAACCTGTGTCAGCACAGACAGGCCTAAAATGTGGGGCTGAAGGTAATGGAGGGTATTTTTAGGTTTGGGGATTTTTTTTTTCTTAAGCCATAATCAACAAAATGGACCTTACAAGAAAACCTTAAAAGTAGCTATGCACAGATGTACCAATGTGCTGATTTTGCAAAGAAAGCACTATTCCTCATGGACAAGGTATTCTGGGCAGAATCTGATACAAAACTTGATTGATAATTTCTGCAGTTTAAAGGCTGACTGCAGCATCTTTCCCAGAACAACTGAGATTTCAATTCCTTTCAACACCCAATTCATTCTTTATGTTCACACACTTAAAGGTTACCTCTCTGGAAAGCAGATGAAATCTAAAGAGCAGTTTTGACATAGAACCTGTGTTCATGTAAGCTTCCTGACAGAATTTCTACTTCATCACCATACTAAAGGCACAGGTTAATGTCACTACAAAGCTAAGCTATTGCTGAACAGAAAAGAACCACTTTCCTGTTTGCAGCTTCAGCCATGTGTTCCCCCTCATTAGGCTTTAACAGTTATGAAAGGAACTAAATAAATCTTGTCTGGGAGTAGTGAAGCAATTGCTTTAGCACTCCTTTGTGCTGTGTTCAGGGACAGGCAGGAAACAGCATGCCACTGCCAGGTGAGGAAGGAGCAAGCCAGTAAGGTGTTGTAACTGTCCCAACTGTTCAAATGCCTGGAACCTGGGCCCAACATAACATTAATGAAGCCAGTATTCTTTTCTGCGTCCCTACATATACTGACCAGATATAGACGGTCTCCTGTAAAAGAGGCAGATCCTGGCCTGATCTTTTCAGCTTCTGGCAGGAAAAGAACTGCTACACAGAAATGTTCTTTTTTCCCCTTGGTGATGAACTTCATGCGATTTAACAGAAACTCATTCACTATTTCCTTGATATTTCTGTCTTTGTAGCAAGATCTTTTCTTACTGGTGGCCTACCATTTCTCCTCCCCTCCATTCTCTTTTTTCTCTTCATGGAATCATAGAACAGTTTAGGTTGGAATGTAATATAGTCCAGTCCCCTGCCATAGGGAGGTAGTATTTCACTGAATCAAGTTGCTCTAAGTGCTTTCTGACCCTTCCTTGAACACTTTAATTGGATGTACACCACTTACATTGGATATTTACCTTATTTGATATTTTCACTGGATATGTATCACATTACCATAATGTGCAATAAGCAAACTACAAAATGTATACCTGGCTGTGACAAGGTAGGAAGAGTTTTTTTGTTTCTTTGGGTTTTTTTGTTTGTTTCTGGTTTTTAACTTCAGTTATTTTTAAGAAGCAAATACCAGCAGAAATTACTATGCTACACTGTCAGGCTCTTAAAAAATACCTGCCATTTTGATCTGGATACATAAGGGAGACAAAGTAATTTATATTTACTTATGAACTATTGCTCTTAATCTATAAGATGTGATCACTTTACAATAATGAAATAAAGTACTGATAAGATCAAGCTTAGAAGTGCACCTTTTCCATAGTACTTCTTTAGGCTTACACTACATGCTCTGGAGAAGCTACAGTTTGTGAAGATATTGCAACACAGACATTCAGAAAACTGACACAGCACTTGCGGCACATGGAAGGAGGAGGAACACACAGAGGGAATTTTCAATGCACATTCAGAATCTTTTATCATCATGAACAGACATAACACATGAAATTACAGCTGCAATTTGCAGAACATGAAGGGCATGAACCTTATCCACCCTATAACTCTCAACATGACAGGCCACAAATAACATTCAGGAGCATACAGCTCTTCTTCAACTGATATGCCCATTCCCTGTCTCGTGCCTAAAAGATTTTACATTGGGAAAAGAAAAAAGGAACTATGTTTTATGACAGGCAAACCCATTGTTCACATTGTAATCAACAAACTGCACCTTCTCTTTCTGTTTGGCTTTTTCTAAACTTTAAAATGCTGCCAATACACTTGTTCTATTGTCAAGATTTCAATTCCATGATAATTGAGCTTCTTTTCCCTATCAATTTAAAGAAAACCTCAATTTCTCTCCAAATGTACAAAGTTACGGTACCTCAACTTCTCGCTGAACTCCCCCTCTTCTAGTTCTGACTGAAAAAAAAAAAAGTAGTAGTTTGTGAATTGCCAAACGAACAATTTTGGCCAACATCTGAAGTGACTCAGTATTATTCCTATACCTTGCTGTTAAATTTATCGACATTCTGTCCACTTTGACACATCGTCAATTTTTCAATTATTATGCAGCCCATGATAAGCAACAATGAAAGGGCTGGTTTGCTTCTTACGCGTAAATCTGGTCATGAGGCAACTCTGGCACATCTTCAGAGGCTTCTGAATGAACACCACTTGCCCTGCATTTGCCTGAGGCTGGTTAAACCTTTCCACCCTTGCTAGGGTGTCATCAAAGGCCTTCAGAGACCAGAACAGCAGAAAACAGGCGTATCCCAAAATGACTCCTGGCATTTCAACACTTGCTAGTTATGACAGCTGGAAAAAGAATGTCCTCACTTGTGGCTTTTATATAGACCCATGTACATGAATATGCAACAATGTACAACTTTTCCAAACCTGATGAAGGCAGTGAATCACACCACCTTCTTTCATGGCCATCATTCACATAGGTAGCTACTGCTTCCTATTAACATCCTCAAAGAAGGTAAAGAATGGGGATACAACTCAGCATCTACATCTGCTCTTAACCTGTTCTGATAGGCTGTCAAACTAGTTTTCTGTATTCACTTTCATGAATATTAATATTCACAGCAAAATCTCATCCTCAGTATGACTTCCAGACTATTTCACACCAGATGTCCAGTCCCCACTGGACAGCTGTACTGATTTACAGGTGAGTAACTCTTGTGAGTTTTTGTGCCTTTCCAAGACACAAAACTTAAGATGCTAGCAAGTCTTTACCACAAGCAGTTTTGTTAATTGTAGAATTAAATCCTCATCAGCATTTCAATTACCCTAGAAACACCTTTTAGTGCTGAAATCTACAATTTCATTTTTCAGAACAGGGAATGCAGGGAGCTATGGCTGTGATCAATCTCCAGAGGTAACTTCTCCATTCTTTTCTTCATCACATCACAAACTGAGAGCCAGAGTTTAAAAGTCTTGGGTCCCTTTCTTACCTCATCAACAAGAATTTCCAAGGAGTTACAGCTACACTCACATTTTTTCTGCAAACAATCCATTGAATTACTTTGTTTTTGCAGAATCAGTCATAAATGTTAAAGATGATGCCAGTGTGAAGCTGACAGAACGGGTTATGCAATGAAAATGAATCAAGGCTGCAGCAAATGCTCAAAGGCTCTGTTCTGGTCCAGATATTCATTGAGTATTTTAACACAGCTGAGCTCAAGAGAATAGCATAGCTGGAAAACCAAACTGTGAGCCAGTATATCCAAAGTCAAGTGCTGAACTTCCCCTGATACATCCAGCATTCAGATACAAGGATAAGACCAGGTCAGACAATTGGAAAGCTGTTCTAAGTACTACAGGTGTAACTGGTAACACCAACCTCTTTTTCAACAGCAGACAAAATTCAGGTGACGTGTGAAATTCCAAACTGGGCAGACGAATGTACATTTTATACACTCTACAGAATTACCTAATTTCGATAGGAGGTGAAATAATAATAATGAAAAAGGCAGACAAGTAAAAAGGGACTAAGGTCTTGACCATAAGACTATCTTATATATTTAAAGGTCTTCCCAACAATGTCTGCTCATGAAAGAGCACACTTATATGGGATTACAATCATAGAATAGTTTGGGTTGGAATGGACATTTAACAACCCTGTAATTCTACCTTCCCTGCCATGGGCAGGTATACTTTCCACTAGATCAATCTGCTGAAAGTTCCACTCAGCGTGGTCTTGAACACTTCCAGGGATGGGGAAGTTACCCACAATTTCTCTGGACAACCGGTTCTTCTCTTGGCAACCTGTTCCAGTGCTTTATCACCCTCACAGAAAATAAATTCTTTCTTATATCTCAATGTCAATTTACCATCTTTCAGTTTAAAGCCATTAGTCTCTGTCCTACCAATTACAAACAGTCTTATTTGTCTAGAGAAAGTACACTTCATTGCTTAAGAATCGTGGTGAGAATTCAAATTGCAATCCCATTTCCTTGTAGGCTTTATATTCAGACATTTACTATGAGGAAGAAGAAACAATAATTACAGATTAATTTATAAAACAGAGCCTGTAAACTTACAAAGTATTATGTTTCACCATCTAGTTCTCTTCCATTTTCTGTTACATTTAAATAGCTCAGACTGTCTTCCAAATTGTTCACAAACCACATCATGTTTTTGGTAAATGTTACAGGGTATTTCACTGAGTAGCTAATGTCCAGATCACCTACCAGCTACCAACCATAGTCAACATTGCACCTGTTGCAGCTCTTGGCTTATGGAACAGTCATATCTCAACTTTCCACTGTAATAAAAATAAATGCCAAAAGCTAATCTAACGACCGAGTATGAATATTTTTGAATAGATGAAGCTGAAAACCTGTCCCCTGCAGTTGAGTGAGGTTTATGATAGTAAGATTTTCCTCTATTTAATACATGGATAACATATGTTTATTTGAAAAGAAGTATCATACTGTTGTTGTAATGTAAAAGGACTGCCATGTAAAAAGACTAAATGTGTATTTAAAACACTCAGAAGGGGTAATCTGTTCATTAGTATTACACTGATGAAGCTCTAAACTCACTGTGACAATTATCAGGATCCAGGATTTAAAGTCCACATGCCCTTACACTAAGTCATATCCTTGATACTATAATTATTAAACAGGATGCTCAGGTTGCAATGACTGAGCCATAACAAAACACTTCAGATTTTTATATCATTTTGGTTTAAAATGCACACTGAGCTAGGATTTTTTGGTAAGCACACTTATGATTGAATACTATTTTAAAAAATAGTTTTTATAATCTAGGTATTTGTAATATGAGAAGACTATTGAGCTAAATGGAAAAAATTATGGTGAAAATTGCTCTCAAATTAGAGAAGCTGCACTTGGTGCAGGATTCTCTAGGATTCTCACCTATATCAAGTGAAAGCATTCAGAGTCTTTCACCTTGCTATTTTATGTCCCACAAAACCAGAGGCTTAGGACACAGAAATTGCTGAAATAACATCTTTCCATTTACATTTTTTCTTGTCAACTTTTATTCTGCTTGAATTAACAGTACTGCTCCAAATTCCTCTTGTTTAGTTCCCAGCATAAGGTATTTACACAGATCCATTACAACCTCTCCCACACATTATATTTTGTGAAGATAGCTTTCTATATAAAGCAAAAATATGTTTTCTCTCTTTGGAGATACTGTAGCTGCTAGTCAGAATTCTGAAACAAAGGTGATCTCAACACCATACAGAAATAAGAGTCTCACCAAGTTCTCTTGTACCAGCTTTCACTCTGCCCTTCCTATAAAAAAAGTAGGTGATGGAAATTATCTGAAGAAACAACCTGCATTTTCTCACATCCACGTCACAACAGTGGGTTAATTACTGAGGTATCAATTACTATGGATTTTTCCCAACTTTTTAATTTTTGCAGCTGAGAAGATTTCAAACTATAAGGAAGATCCTCTATTTTTCCAAGACTTAAACCACAACTTATTAAATTTAATTCCACTTCAATTTTTCCAGTATGTAAGCAATATACACTGATCCTGCTTCATACTGACAATGCCTTCAGCACGAGGCACCACCAGTCAGCTTGGATATGAATCCACTAATGCTAAATCACAGCATTGCTGTTTCAACTCCTGATCAATAAAACTGTTTGACAAAAATGCTGTAAAAGAAAAATGGCAGCTAATGTCTTACCTTGTTCTAAGAGCCACCCAAGCGGCATCAATGTCAGCATACAGATTCTTCTCTGTAGGCTTCCCTGAACTTGCACCATATCCAGAATAATCATAGGAGAATATGTTGCAATTAATCCGTGAACCCAGTCCTATATAAAAGCTGCTCATCTGACCCAGGTCAACAGCATTTCCGTGTGAGAAGAGCAAAGTGTACTTGGCGTTAGGTGAGCAACGCACAAACATACAGGCAATCCTGTTGCCTTTACAGGTTCTAGTCATGAAGCACTCAATGGCATCTTTTTCTCTAGAAGAATATTGCCAGTCTGCTCGCTCTGAGAGATGCAAGGTCCAGCGACTACCACTCTCATCACACATCAGTGTGTATGTGGGATCAGGAGGTAAGAATGCCAGCTTAGAGGCAATTTTCCCTGGGCATGGTGGACAACAGAACAGGCAACACAGTTCACTAAAGGAAAGATTATTCATCTTCTAGTCTGAAATGGGAAGAGAGAATAGTATCAGTTTCCAGGTACAATCTGACATTAAAAAAACACAACTTACAAAAAAAAAGAACATAACATCTCTAGAAAATAATGCATAACTTCTGAACATTTAAGAAAACAAATACTTAAATACATATATGTACATTTCCATATAATATTTAATTTTATATTATTAGTTATTTCACAATGAGTATATTATTAAAGAGGAGTGACAACTCTAAGCCCTGCCAACCATCAAAAGTAAAGCATGATTACCCAGGGAAAGAACAAGCATGAGTTTTGGAATTTCTTTGGAAGAAATTAAGTTCCTCATCTTAAAACATTAAGAAAAGTGTTCTTCCCATTCACAAATACATAAGTGATAACAGTTGAAACATGTTGCAAAGTTGCAGCTGACTAAGGTATGCAGATTTCTGCAGCTAAAAATCACTACAGCATCTCCTAAATACAAAGATTGTATATTGCAATCACAAGGTATGGGCTTCTGCAAGCACTATCAGAAGTATGAAGGGTGCATGAAGGTCAAAACTTAAGACATAACAAGATGGTGCTTCTGGATTAGCGAACACTCTAGAGCTCTGGTACATGAAAATATACCCATAAACTTATCTTCTCTCCTTATACTTGCTGACATAAATGTTTTGAAAACCTTCAAAGATGTTTGTAGCTGTATTGCCCATAGGAATTTGGATTGTATAAATGACACAATTGTTTTGTTTTTTTACACATCCCATACTAAAAGCTCTACAGCAATATAATCTAACTAATTCAAAGCATTGGTTTCAACAGTGGTGAGGAGGGGAGAAAAAAAATAAACACACCTACCTAAAGCAAGACAGGTATAGATACAGTTGCCCTTAAAACAGACATTGTGTTCTCTTAATTTAGAGCAGTGAGAAGGGAGTGGGGAAAAATCCTCTGTTGTGGCAATTTTTTCTCAGAGATAAGAAGAGAAATGGAATTTGACAAGTACCATGCTGGAAACCAGCACACCAAAGATAAGCTTTTACTCTACTTTCTGTGTGTTAAGGCATCTGACATTTCATTTTACACAACTTTTTCATACCAAATCTATCCACAGGTCTCAAGTTCATCTCCTGACAATTCCCTGTGAACATAAACACAGTTTCACATACGGACTTTGACTCAAGCTACAAAACAAGCAGATTTCAGTTGTCTACAGTACCATGCTGTTCCAGAACTATTTGGGTCACCCAACAATAAAATCTTACTGCTAACTATGACACCTAGCAGTATTTAGCCATTTCAAATTTTTTCCTTAAATTTGTACAGAAACATAGTTTTCATGTCTAAATTTCTTTTTAACGAAGCTTCCAGGACAGTGCTGCAAAAACACTTTAACATGCATCACAGAACAACTATCTGTATTTTTGGATGTGTGAATGGTCTCTTCCTGGTGATACAGTATGAAAGTATACTGCAAACAATGTTACATGGAGCATACTTTTAGAGCAGCAAAAACAGGCTCAGTGAGACAGTCTGACAAACACATGAGCATTCATGGACTACCACAAAAGAAGAGGCTGCTGCAGCTAAGGGTTTCACCCCAGGTCTCTAGCTTTCTTCAAAACACAGGGAAACCACAGAGGCTTAGACATGGGAGAACACTTCAAAATATAGAGGATATGGTGGGAAGTACTGATCGGCTCCCATAAGAAGGTACTTTAGGCTCTTAAAGAAGATAAAGGACCATATTTCTGCATGCCAAAGTAACAATAATATTGTGTTTCAGCACAATTAGTCTCACAAATTTGGAATAACTCATCCCCATCAGATGAAATTATGTGAGCATCAAGTTTCAGTTATACCCACAAGTCAGGATAAATGGAAGGAGTCTATGGAGAAAGTCTATTAGCAAAAGGTTTATATTGTCTTATGTAAAGTGAAAATCCTATTGTTTTGGGGGCAGTGGTGTGTGTTTGTTCCTTCTTCACTTCTCTTGTAAATATGAACACCAAAGAAGCAACTTTTTTCAGCTGCACTTAATGAGTTCATCTTCACAGTCCAGAGAAACTCCTGTGATGCCTCAACATGCTTTTTTCCCAAGCACTTATGACACAATACTCAAAATTACTTCCATTTCTATCAGAAACTATTAAATGGATCTGTTACAAGTGAGTTTTTCCACCTTTACAGAAGCGTTAAAGGTGAAGTTAGATATTATACTTTATTCTAAGGGGGTGATTATTATTTATTTGTGAAAAATTTAAAAGAATTTGCACCTCCAAAAGTGAGATATAAATAGTTTGTTTTGCCCAGGAACAGTGGATTGCACTCTATGCCAGCACACAATGAGAACTACAGAATTCCTTATTTCTTCCAAATCAACTTGTCAGAATAATTAGAACAGGAGTTTACATTACTTGTAAGTATAAACAGCCCACCAACACTACAAATATTATCTCACACAGAAAATATTTGCTATTTGCCAAAGTAATTTTAGAAGACTGGAAACTAGCCTGCAGGATTCACAGAAAGGGCAGTACTGCATTAAACCATAGTGAATTAGCAGACGTGGTGGTACTGTCCTGCAAGATAGCTCAAATGTGCTAAAAAAGGGCTGTCACCACATATGGCAAATAACATGCTGAAGACAACAGATGAAGTATTATTCCTCCCCTGTGCTAGACTAATGCAGGATTTATGTATTGATCTTTTAATCCAATGGAAAATATGCCTACTGAAACAAAATATTCTGATTTCAGAGTAACTCTCCAGCTAATCATGGCTAATCATGGCTAATAACTCTCTTTACAACAAACACCTGCTACTTTCTTCCCTTAGAAGACCCAAGACAACCAGCAGGTCACTAACTGAACCAATCTGACACAAAACACCCACTGAACTTCCACAGAAGGATAGCTCCAACTAAATGAAAACAGTGTTTCTATTATACTGGAACTGGTTTGTCATTCACTGTGATGGATTGTATTCATATGAGAGTGCGAATAAGCTGGAGGTGTGCTTTATCTGGATTCTTAAGGAAGCCAAGGCAAAAACAACTCTGACTAGATTACTTTAAGCATATGGTTCCACAAGTACAGATGAGTAACTTTAATGGGACTCGTTTGACGAAGATATGTTGTGAATACCTAAGTTATAGTCTAACACCTTCTGAGTATGCATGATGTAAATCTCTGTGCTCATTACAGCATCATCAGATTCTGAGATCAACACATCCCAACTACACAACTATCTCACCTTCTACTTGACATTTCAGTAGTGATAAAAATGCCAATGCTGTTCTGCAGACACAATTCCTACAGCTGGTAAAATATACTAACAACAAAAAGAATACAGTAAAGAAATATACATCCCCTTTAAAATTATACTGCATTTTTCATAGTAATTAAGTATAAAAATTCAGTGGAAGAAACTGCAGAAAATCTTCTATTGCAGCAATAGAGGCTAAAAATAAAACACACCCAAGCTGTACTACTTACCCCTTCTGAGATAGCTTTTAAAAGGAAAGCCAGAGCATTTTATCAGTTTTATCTCTTTAACTCTCTTATGAATAAAGACCTAATATATAAAATTACAAATATAAAACTGCCCACAGGCAGTAATTTCTATTAATTCTGTGGCAATTAGCCTTCTCATAAAGGCTGACAGAAGGGGGAAAATGTCTATTTAATCTTAAAGAACACCTGAAGTACTCATCTTGCGCTTCCTAGAATAACACAAATGTAATTGTTTCATATAAGTAATTATTTCTGTCCTCCTATCTCTGTACATGATAACAACACAGTGGAACCTATTAGTCACATCTTTGAATACTTCACTATGTATCAGTTTCAAAACCAGCAAAACCTTGCAAACACTTATCTAGAAATCTTGTATTTACATTCAATATAAATTATTCTAATTGTTTATTTAAACTAAATTGCCCATTTCATGGGAACTATTCACAGGAACAAAGTCAAATTCATAAATATAACTGCTGGTTTGGAACTTTAAGTGTTGTTCAAACCACAATGGGAACGATATTAAAATTGGTGGGTTTTTTTGTTTTGGTTGCTATTTGTGTGTATTTTGGTTGTGGGTTTGATGTTTGTTTAGGGTTTTCTTTCATCTTTACTGTTCATTGTCTACTGCTAAAAGAAGAAATTCTAAAGTATTTTTCTACCACTTTCATTGAAGACAATATAATGAGAACTTGAGTGCAAGCCACTACTGAAGTACCGATGTGTACTCCAACACCTGTGTAATGTTAAAAATGGAACAGAATGGTATGAACATCCTTTAACTAGTCCAACAGTTAAAACAACAAAATGTTCAGAGAAAAAGAATTAGTGTCTGATTAAGTACCACATAAAAACATTAAGAGACTATTAAGAAAGAATACACAGTAAGTCCAGAAAACAACACAAAGGAAGTATATTCGATTATAAAAACCCTATATTAAGAAATACTGTGAAGTAAATATTTAAGGTAGTTTTCAAGGGACAAAGTAGGTTACATGAAAACAGAGAAGCCTGATGGAACCAAAACTTTACTTTGGTTAATTTGATTCTAAACAAAAAACCACCCCTTCTTGTCTTAGAAACTCTAGCTATTTTAACACATACATAGAGACATTATTTATCCTCTGCTGGTTACTTTGTATATATCAAAACCTAACGGCCTAGTCGAAATAAGACAGGGAATACAGGAAACATTAACTAAAAATCCGGCCATTCTTTATCACCCGAAGAACAAATTAAACCTCTAAGGGTTCCAGATACACAGCTGTGGAATTAAGGCGATTACCTAATGCCTCGCATGCTCCAAGCCAAACTCTGCCCCCGGAGCTGCCTGCTGAAGCCACCCGTCCGCCGGCTGCGGCGCGGGAGCCCCGCCGTGCCCCCGCGCGGGGTCTCGGCGCAGCCGGCCGGCCACAGCGCGGAGCTCCGCCCTTAGCACCGCTCTGCCCCAGCTGCTCCCACTGCCATTTCCGCAGCCAGCACCTTTCCAGCTGATTACTGACCAAATACTTTAAATGCTTTTATATAAATAATACCTGAGAGCAGCGTCACTCCCACCCTCAATTGCAGAAGCTGAAGGAATGGACTTAAGCGGGCTGGCGGGAACTAAATTAACTCCTCAGATGTCCGCATCTGAAAAGGGTCCTGCCGAAGTCCTTAGCAGTGACTCAAAGGCACTGTTTGGAGCCGCGAAAAGCCAGACTTTAACAATCGTGTCAGCAACCAGTGCGCCTGTTTCCAACAAAGGAGTCTAGGGCAAGACCACGGAGACGGGAGCACCGGGACAGGGCGCCCACAGCAGCTGAGCACCCCGAGGCAGGCGGCACCCCGGAGGCCCCCGAGCCCCGCGACACAGGGACGCGGACAGGAGCGCGGCGGGCCCGGCAGCTCTGCCGCCGGCCCGTGCCGCCCGCCTCTCCGAGGAGACGCCGCCGCGGGCCGCCGCTCCAGGGCCGCCGCACGCCTGCGCCGAGCGGCGCGGGCAGGCCGCGGGGCCGAGCGGGGGAAGCGACCCGGACGGACCCGCCAGGAGGAGACAGCTCGCCCACACGCGGCGGCGGGCACCCGCACCCCGTCCGCGCCGCCGCGCCGGGGGAGGACGGCCCCTACCTGCACCTGGCGCTCCGCCCGGCGGCCGCGCTCTGCCGGCCCGGCGGCGCCTGGGGACGCCGGCCGTGCTGAGTAACGGCGCGGCGGGAGGCGCCGTCCGCGCCGGAGAACGCGCGGCCCTGGCAGCGCCGAGCCCGCCCCGCGCAGCCTCCCGAGCGGAGCCGGCCTCGCCTCGCCCGCCGACTGCACCGCGGCGGGGCCGGGCGGGGCGGGGCCCGCGGGCCGCAGCGCCAATGGGGCGCAGCCGCGGCGGCGCCGCCCGGCGCGGGCGGGCCCGTGGAGCGGTTCCGGGGCAGGCGGCGCCGGCCCGCGATGAGCTCGGAGCGGGGGAACGTGTCGCGCACGCGGCCGCAGCGCCACCAGAACGCGCGCGCCTTCAGGAACGACAAGTACGACACCAGCGCCCGGCGCAAGGTAGGCGGCGGCGAGCCCCGGGCGGCCCGGGGCACGCGGGGCTGCCCCGGCGCCAGAAGCCGCCTCTGCCGGCCATGCGCCGCCTGGGGCCGGAGCGGCGGGAAGGGTTTCTTGCCGAAAGCGTGGGCAGGTCCCCCTACGGTCTCTGGAGCCGTACCCTGTCCCTGTGAGGTCTGGTGCCAGGTCCGGATAGGCTTCGGAATCACAAAGGAAGTCACGCGACAGTGGATGCCGAGGGACCGGTTTAGGGATGGAGATAGCTCTGGCCCGGGTCCACCCACAGCAGGCACAGTGCTGCTAAGATAGAATCGCAACGAGACATTTCACACAGCTGTCACTGTAAGCAAATGTGTAGTGTGAGATTTATCACATGAAACGACCTAGTTAAGCCAAAGAATTATAAGAGGAAGACTGAAATAAAGCGCTTACATTTGTGCAGTGGGTGCAGCAATTCAATGTTCAATGGCGCATTATCCACATGTTATAAACGAGAGTTTATTTTAGCCAGATTAAAAAATAAAAATAATTTTATTAGCGGTCAAATTCTATCTAGCCAGCCACACAGAAAGGACAGAGCCGAGCCTGCGGTCGACCCTGGGTGTGCAACAAGGAGTCAGCCTCAGCAGAGGTTTTCCCCTATGCCCACACACCTCCATCCTGGCACAGGCGGTTTTTATAGGGAAAATTCTGCCTGAGGCCAAGGTTTTAGCAATCAGTCCTTTCTTCTATTTGGAGTCCATATGTTAGTAAGGATTTCTTTTTGGTGATGAGGAGAAAAATTCAATGTTGGGTGTTTACGGGAAGGCTTCATTCACATGGATCTGTCTGAGGATTTCCATGATATCCATCTTGGACGATCAGCACAGACGATCAGCAGACAATGGCCCATCTCCCGGCCGAGCCACATCTGTTTACTTGTAAATCAGTTTCCAGTATACACTCAAGTCTCACCTACAAAAAGGGGGAGGAGGGGGGGAGGAACTAATACAACGGGCATGATTTAACACGCATCCAATATTACATATTTCATACAAGGAATGGCGCGAATTATATTTATTATACATAACACACATGACTTGAATGGTGTTCGCTCTTCTCAAGGTTTGTGACTGTGGTCGTAACTCAGAAATCGTGATGTTTTGAGAGCTTCGTTTAAACAACTTTGCCCCATCACATGTAAATACCTAGCTTCAGTCGGCATACTTTTGAGATAACTTTCATGTGTACTTCAATTTCTTTTTTAAAAAAAGGGGCTCTTCTGGTCAGTTAGATAGAAAGGTGTGTTCAGCTAGTGTGTTCAGCACTTTTGCTACAAAAGTTATCATCTTCACTCTGTTGTTCCAGAAGACTGTTTTGTCTTTTTTTGTTCTAAGCAGGGAAGGGGAAATGGTCTACAACATATTCTTGAAACAGGCTCTGTGCTTTTAGTTTTGGTAATGTAATATGCAGAAGGGGCTGAAGAACACGCGGTAACTCCACCAAAGTAGGGTTTTTCATCTTGCAGGCTAAACCAAGAAGGTGACTAGGCAGAAACAGAGGATGAATAATCTAAGAGAGTTTATCTGGTGCTATGGCTATCACATCAATGTCCCTTTTTACTGAACCTGCCCGGGTTGTCAAAAAGAGCTGGAGGAGTGGAACAAAGTAGTAAATTAAAGCCTTGATGCCAAAGAGGGAGGTTTGTGGTTTTTGTGGGCTTGTTTTGATTATTTTTTGAGATTTTTTTTTAGGACTGGTTCTGCAAGTTGAACAGGCTGCTTTCCTGGGATTCTAAGCAGTGACAGTATTATCTGTTGTGTGAGTCACTGCATGACCTCTGATAGGAGAATATTTTTCGCTGGGTACAAACATGCACACAAAAAATGTCATAGAGAGCTGGTCTATTGAAAAGTTTTTAAAGAGAAACTGAATTCTAGTATCAGTTTTGTAACTGAAATAATCACTTCAATACCCACATGACTGTTTTTCTGTTTTTCTTCCCTTTAAAAATAATTGCTATCCTATAGAACTGGCTACACAATGTCATGCACTCACAAATTTTTTTTTTTTTTTTTTTTTATGTGGCTGAGGTTTGCTCTGGACATCAACTTGTCTCTTTTTTCTTTCCATTTCAAGCAAATGATTTCTTTCCTCTTTGTGTCTGCTAGTTTATGGAGAGGGCTGACTATGTGGAAGTAGCATCCTATTCTGGGGTTAGATAATGTTTAGTAAGGGGAAAGGATGCATTCCTTTTTCTTAAGGCATCCATCCTGTCAGGTACAAATTCAAATCCTAAGGTACTGCCGTGTTTTAGGAATTATATTCCCCAGCTTAGTGTTCCAACTGAAACACTCTAAACCATGCACCACTTACTCACTCACTCTTCCCTTTACCTCTCTCCCTGCATAGCCCTGGATAAGAGAATTTGAGGCACAAAAGGCAAAGATCACATGTTCAAATAAGAATAATTTACTGAAAAGAGCAAATGAAATAAGAAAACAGTCACAGCAATAGTGTAGAAGAGATGATTCACATACAAGCATTCACTATGTGGGACCCCTGGCAGTACCAGACCACACCATACTATGTGACCTGGAAGGGACTGCACCCCCCATTCCTGCAAAATGATGTGAGGTGGTATAGAATAGCCTTAGTGTCCTAGCCTGGAAAAATTAACCCAGGATTAGCCAGAAACCGGACAGGGATACACAGGAGTCATTATAATGATGCTAGCCCCATTTTGGTGTTTTAAAGAAGTTAGACTAGAAAGATGAAGTGGCAATTAATGTCATCATTTAGATATGGACTATGCTGAATGATGACAGTTTTGCATCTTTGTCTTTTGCAGTCCTGGATGATCAGATATGTCATGGATGTTCAAGGTATGATGAGGAAAAGGAAGAAATCGTAGAAATTCTATCATAGGGACTGATAAAGGAGTGGGGCATACTCCTTTCTATCTCTCATTAGCTCAATAGATCAAAAGAATGCTTAAAGCTCCACAAAGAGAATGGATCTCCTGTAATTCACTGTTAAACATGGGGGGGGGGGGTTTGTATGTGGCCTGTCTACTGTTGTACACTGTCCAATGCGGTGCTAACTTGAAAAACTGCAAAGTGCTTATCAGCTTAAAATTTGGATCCTGCTGCAATTGTGCACTGCATTAGCAATGTTGAATACTTACTACAATAGCTTCAGGTCCAGTGGGTGGAGTTGAGGTAGTTAATTATTACCGTGTTATGCTATTTCTCATAGTGAAGCAGTATCTGCAGAGGAAATTGATCTAATAATATTTTGACTTTTCTCTGCTGGCAGTCATTATCCAGTTGGTTTTTGGTTTTTTTAAATGTTTTGTGCCCTTTATCTGACAATGACTTTGTCATCCATTTTCTAATCTTAGAGGCTACAGACATGATTACTTGAGAACATGATAGAAGATCCGTCTGTCTTTCCTCTAATGATCAGTCTTTACTACAGCATTGCTCTTGGGACTTGTTGAGGTGAAACATCCTTGCAACAATGTACACTGCCTCTCTAATTGGGAAACAGCCACTACAGTGCTCGAAAAGTTTGTGTCTTAGGATGACCTGAAGAAGCAGTAGCCAGGACAGGGTAAGACACTGTCTTGTTAGTTATTGAATTATGTAAAGTATATTTCATAAGTTATCATGCAAACTGCAGTAGCTCTAGAAATGAAAGCAAATATCATTTAATGAGAACATTTAGAATGCCACTGTAGTAAGATGGTAAACCACAAAGTGATTCATATTTACACTCAAATGCCTGATTTGTTTCTTCATTTCTTTCCTTTCATTAAGATGATAATCCACATTTCCCTAAATTTCAGGGGTTATTGCTTCTGAACCTCAGCTTTACCACAGTGTTACTGTCAGTTATTTTTTCAGCCAGGTGCATGGATAAGTCACTTGTTTTAGTGGAAACACTGTTTTAGACTGTGGGAAAGCACTAGGAAGAGAACAGCTGAATGTAAAGCTTAAATGCTGAGTCATTAATCATATTTTGAAACACAGAAGGGAGATAGAGATAAACCAGTGGCCAACTGGAACTGTTAGATAACTATAGTGCAGTTTTTTTAGATAACTTTCTTGCTGCAACGTAGACTGGTTGGTAGACTGAAGTCTTGTCTGGCTTGGTAGACTGAAGTCTACTCTCTAGCCACTCCTGTTACTCTGGGTTCAGAAATACATTCAGTCTTGAGTTGTAGCCTTTCATGTAGGGAGAATAAGAGCAAGTATAACAACTGGTCTGGACTCTAACTCTAACTCTGGAGGTGGGGCAGAGAGTAAGAGAGAGAATATGTGGGTACATGTAGGAGGTGTGTCTGGTGTGTGTGTGTTTATGTGTCTTTGTGTATTTTCCATTCTTTCTGGGGGAGATGGTGAGAATCCTTCCAGTGCTCTCTTCAATGCTATATGCATATGTTGCTTAAATTTTGAAATACACTTGATGAGAAAATATCTGTAGAAAAAAGAATTTCATGCAATGCTGGTAGAATATATGAGCAAGTGAAGCTGTGTGGGGGACAGTTTCAGCCTGTGTAATGTGCATTGGAACCTGAAGTCTGGCATCTGGTATCTCAGTTTCACCTTTATCAGTCTGCTGCTTTAACTGCTTAGTAGTCATGTGCTGGAGGTCCGGTGGAGTTTTATTTTTTTGAGAAGTTCAGTTGTTCAGAAATACTGCATTCATCCTTGTGTTACATTTGGCCTTGCTGACTGAAGCAGTGCCACCTGTGTTTCTCGCAAGGAAGTTTATGGGTGGTATTAACAATACACTCAGTTACAGCAGAATATACCACTGATATGTGCTCAGTAGAAGGAATCTGCTTTCAGTAGAGGAAATCAAAATACCCATAGGTTTCACACATAATTAGAAGCTTACAAACAGATGTTGAAGCTTCTTTGAAGCCCTGTCATTACATCCTACCTGTGAGCGCTTTAATGGTAGTTTTAGCTGGGGATTATTTTGTGCCACGTTAGTAGGTGCAGGTGCATTTGTTT